ATAGTGTCAGCTAGTTTAATAATAATCAGTCTCCTTTGTGAGAAGCTGTTAGTGGAACAGGTGAGGTAGAAGCAAGATCTCTAAAGCACATAGAACACTACTGAAGAAATAAAATGTTCTTTAGCCACTGCTGTTAGGGTTTTTTTGGCTGGGCACAGGATGGGGTAAAAATATTTAGAACATGCAGCTGAATTTCAGATAGCTCTAGTGCTGATGGTAAGCAATATAGGAATGTCCAATTAAAAGAAAGGAAAATATGTGAGAAGATGGGGCAAATTAATAAAGATATTAAAAATGCCTCAAAGGCAGGAAGTACTCATCAATATTGAGGGCATCCTCTTTAAACTACACAAAAGATTACACATCTGATTAACTTTTTTCATAGGCCAGTGAGAAAAAAATATAAAAGCCACTGAATCAGATTTTTGTGGATGAAATAAATTGATCCATTTATCTAGTAGCAAGACCAGGAATGAGGAATTCAGCAAGAAGAACCCATTTTAAAAGTCAAGAAGTGGGAAAAAGCTGAGCTGAAGTTTAAATTTACTTCAAATAAGAGAAATGAGGTCACCTGGTACAACTTCTTCTATCTACCAACTCTTCATATATACCATAGCAGACATCTCTCTTAAACTGTGTATGTTTGACATAGAATAGCCTATATTGCTCAAACTCAGGAGTGAAAAGTTTCCAACCACCCTTCATAGGCTGTTGAGATACAGACTGGAGACAACTATGTCCTGATAGAAGACTTTTCTTCAGTTTCTAATGCTTTGCTCATGTTCAAAAGCCTCCATCCACAATTTCAAAGTGGTTTGCAAGACATAGATGAATTTCATACTTTTATCACAAATACAAGAACACCTGGAGGAAGAATTTTATGGGCGGGAAAAGCAAGGCCAGAAGTAGTGGCAGACTTGCCTTCAAGCTTCCACTAGAGGAGGCCATCCCATTTGAAGTCCTTTCTGAGAACTCATTTTATCTCTTCAGTGTGTTTAACACCCTAATGCAACACTGGCACAAGGACTATTTAAGTCTTAAATGCTTCCCTACTTTTGGTAGGGCCCTCTCACCACCAGGCGGTGGCTAGGGGAAGGATCCTCTTGTTACCTCAGAGATAATGATGAAAGCTGCAGTGAGCACAAGAGATCAAGAAACTGTGAAAAATGAACAAGTATATGGTATCAGGTCATTGTCCCCAAGAATTTTTCTCCTCAGAGCTGTGTGTAGCACACAGGCAGCAAGGTGGTTTTCTGGTTTCGTAACATCCCTTCCAGGGAAACACAAGCTGCCACTACAGATCTGACCAGACTGTCAAGATCTGTGAAGAGCTGCCTATTGTTCCTGAAAAATGAGGAATGTAGCAACTGCAAAAGACCAATGAAAATAAACCAAATTACCATATTAAAAAAAATAGTGTGTGATATGAAGCTTTAACTTCATAAACTCATTTGACATTTCACACTCTTAGGTTCTCTTCTTCCAGATAATCCCCCTCAAAATTCTTTACCAAAAGCAATGATACTACAGGATACATTGAAACACAAAACATGTCAGTGTGGTAGATATCATCTTGTCAAACACACAGGGGACTGAATGGTAGATTTCAAAAGCTGGAACCATGAGCTTCTACAGCACACATGGAAGCTGCATGATGCAAAAGGGAGCTTATATGTCACCTCACAAAAACAATGAAGAGGTTATTTAGTTGTGCTAGCCTAAACAAATCCCACCATATATAATTTAAACAAATTATATCAATAGAACCACTAGGACATTGGCAGTTAAGTAATTCTTGCTTTAAGTCTTGAACTGGCTTTTTTTAGCACTACTATACACTGTTAAACACCAGCCAATTTGAGTCCCAAGGATGCCTGCATCTCAAGAGTGACTTGTATATATGACTAAGAATGTTTTGGAAGGTTACAAAGAAAAATATGTCCTATAAATACAAATTATTGAAAGTGCTTCCTGTTCAAGTAGAAGCCTTACTCATCACTGGAACACAGATAATTCTGTGGTAAGTGTGTGCTTCGGTGCACAGGGAGGCTGAATCACGCTTAAGCACACGAGAGGAGCAATGTGCTCGAGGAAGTTCAATGGCTTGCTCAAATTGAATAAAAGAAGGTAAGACAAGACAATAAGGAATATTATTTTCCTATTGAAACTTGTGAATCTTAATTGGTGGTATGACACAGGGTACTGAAATACAAGAACAAAAATAAAAAACAAACAGGATGTAGCAATGTCACCCCTTTGCAGTGGTACTGATGCATCTAGCCAGGACAGTATTCTCTGCTGAACACATCTCATGTTCTTAAGGCCTTTTTCTTCAAAATAGTCTTTGATTTTGTCTTGAGATGAAACTGACAGTTTCTAGGAAAACAGCTACCACATTGTAATCTCTGCCTCTGAAAGCAAGGCCTCAACAAAAGACAAGCATTAGCAGAAATCTCTTACAAGACCTTTGAAAGACAAGATTCATAGGTGGGAATGGAATAACATTTCTTTAAGCAAGTATGTTCCCATCATGTATGTGGTCCCTCTGCCCTTCATGATGAAATACAGAGATGTCCAGCAAATCAACACACAGCATGACTATTCAGACAAAAAGTCTGCAATTGTTTATTTAAAACATATTTAAACATCATGAGACAGCAAGGACTATTTGGGACTTCTGCCTTCAAAAACATTAAGACTGGACCCAAAGTTACTACAAAGATGCAAACAAACTAGGGAGATGTAAATGAGGCTTGAAAACCTTAGAGAATGGGAGATAGGTGTGACTTTCACTGGCAACTGTTATAATAGGCACCAGCAGGCAGTAAGCTAGATCTGAGATGAAGCTTGAGGATTGTTTCTATTCAAAAACTAAGAAAATAAAAAACAAGAACAAATATAACAGCTTTACGGTAACCAAATTCTCAGGGTTTTTTTACTAATCCTAAATATGTTGACAAAAAGAACACTTTCCTCTTCAGCCATTTCATTGGTACTCAACAGGAACCATTTGGGAAGGTAGCAAGGGCACAGATTTCCAAGATCAAGTTCTTCCAAAGGCAGAATGATGACCATCATTGACCTTATCACCCATATTTTTAGGTCTCTTTCCAATTCTGAGTCCTGTCTGAAGGACTTTAGAAGAAAAGGGGGACTTGCATTCCAGATTCTGAAGCAATCTTCACATTCAGGCAGCAGTTGTGCTGGTACCACACTGGCACACAGACAAAGTGCCACGTTATGTGTTTTGGGATCAGCACTGATATTACACAACCTCAGCAACACAACACTACATCAAATAACTACACTGGGTATAGGAGAAGGAAACACCACAGCTGTAATGGGACACTCTTCTGGGAAAGTCTCATGGCTCTATTCCTGAGCCACATACAGAACAACAGGATAGTCTGGTTGGGTGGTTCTCAGGAGGAGGAGGGCTAGTAGAGATCACATGCCAGCTAAAGAGCCAATAGGTTGTGATAATTTTAAACAAGAATTACAAAAATTCGCTAATATTGGAGAGCTTTCAGTGCATCAAATACAAATAGAACAGACTTTTTCATAAATATCAAATGCTTTTTTTCCTTGAACCTTATAAATAACTATAGAGAAAAGGGGTACTTCTTTTGTTGGCTCTGCTACAAATGGGCAAAGACTCAAGTTCTCCTACACTGTGCTCATTTCCAGAAGGAACAAAGTGGTTAATAGACACTATTAAGAAAAAGAGAGAAAGACAGAATAAAAAACAGCCTACAACTGCCCACCAATGCTGTGGGCAGTTGACATGGAGAGAGCTCCTGTGAGAGGACACAAAATCCTCGCCAGCCAGAGTATTATTGTGGAAGCATGGGAGGAGGGTTGGGACACAAGAGCTCTCAGCCAGCCAGAACACTGAGACACGAGCAAGGGATCAGATCTGATTGGATGATCAATTTGGTATTTAAAGTTATCTCTCAGATGATACATTCAATCCTAAAATGGAACAGTCTTGACAAGCAGCAGGGCTTCATCATGATGTAACTTGTAATCCTGACACAGCATGGAAAGAGAATCAAGGAGTCTTTTCATGTTGTGAAATCTTTGAAGGATCAGTTTGGGACATACATCTTGTTTTAACAAGCATACATACAAACTTCACAGGAAAGGCTATCTACCTGTAGTGACTGGTAGCCAACACAGCAGACTGGTACTGAGTGATTCTAGACATAATGGTGATTGTCATTTAACCCAGACAGCAAAACCTTGGTGTTCTGGATGGTAAGTATCCCAAGTGCTTTGGGAATTTAAGCTATATGCATTGTACTGAGTCAGTGATGCTGATGTCAATATTCTTTTAACTAATGGGAGCTTACAGGAACAGCAAATTACTTAAAGAGGCCTCAAGAAATCACTACTGTTTTCATGCTGCAAAAAGTAACTCATCTCACTTAGTTCTAAACTGGCTGGAACAACTGAAGAGAAATGTTTCCCAGGCAGAAGAGGCAATGCCTCCAGTACTTTCATGGGAGACCCACCTCATCAAAAATGAACTCCTTTTTCAGTCCAATCTTTACCATTCAGCTCCTTCTACCTTCCATTACTCCTGTTTCTATTTGTTCTTCCAAATACTTACTTCTGTGGATTCCAAGAAAGGGTGCTCTGAAGCACAAATGAACTGAATGCTCAGAACATCTTTCAAAGTATTTTAAGGCTACTGCAATGCTAATAAACCACTCTGAGAAAACTACTAGTAAGTAGTAGTTTGTCCCCTAGTACCATCCTTTCCCACTACTAAAGGTACCACCCACATGGGATAGAGCATATAAGAAAAGAGCTGCTAAGCCACTCACAGGAACTGTCAATCCATAAGCTGCATTTGGTAGAAAAATTGTAGTGAATAATACTGCCATGGAAGCAAACTAATGAAATGGACAGTAAGGTAAACAGGTAGATGCACAGAGGGCAACAATGAAATGTGAAGTGAGTGCTGGAGAGGGGAACTTCTCTGAAATCAATTATACCTTCACATCCACGCTCAATCTGCCCGCTGCGGTGCAGAGCATCGTTGATAAGGTCAGGCAGACGCCCATTTAAGTCTACAGATGCCAGACAGCCCTGAAATCCATCACGTGAGGCCACAAGCTTCGGGAGGTTGCTATACATGCCTTGAGCTAGGCCAGCAATGTAAAGATCACCTAGAGCAGAGAGGGATAAACATGCAAGGAGGAGGAGGTTACACACCTTCTAGAGTCACTTTTCTTGCCACCACACATGAATAAAGCAAAGTGAACACACATTCAGAAAAAGTTTAAAATAGAGCAACGTATTGTGCAAGAAATTATTTCTGCTTCCTTTACTACAAAAAACTAAAAAAACACCGAAAAGCTAAACAACCAACCAAAATAAAAACAAAACCAAACAAAGAACCCATCACAAAATCCCCTAAATAATCCCAGTTCTCATTGCTACCTAGGAAAATCTGAAAAATGACAATTTCTGAAAAAGCAAAATATAACACACTATTTGGCTACAAGAAGTTGTGAAACAAAAAAGAGATAAATTAATTTGAAAGCCAAAATGTGCAAAGTCCAGATTTACTATTCTGTAATGGATGGTTACTCCAAGCTTTTTCCTGTTCACTTGTTCAGCCTTGCAAGAACAAAGATGGAATATGCTAATCTTGCAGAGTTTACCTTTAAGATCCAGATTTTTGGCCCCGTTGATAACCTGAGTGACCACCTTAGTATCCACTTTTAAGCTGTGTGTGTTACTGTTATCTCTGGTAATGACAACATTGTGCCATTGGTTGTCATTGAGAGGACGATCACTGTTGCCTTTGATAACATTAGGTCCATTTCCAAGGTCAAACACGTAGTGTATATACCTGTAAATACAGCAAGACCTGGTTAATATTCTGGAAGAACGCCAGCATTACTGAACCTTATTCTAGCCAGAGCTGGGAAATTAACTTTAAAAAGTAATGAAGGGAAATATCTCTGGGTTATAAAGTTCTAATAAGCCAAAATATTAGCCACTGCTTGGAAAGAATATAGTTGTTTCTTTTCCACCAAAGTGTAATGATTAGTATTTTGAGATTACAACATTTCATGTAATCAGATTCTAACCATAAAATATTCCTCTTTTTCATTTTCACAAAGTTCTCTCAGAGCCACAAAACACTGTGTGCAAATATTTTTTTTAATTGGTAATATTGATAAATGTACTGGGGAGCAACACTAAATATGCTTATTTAGGGCATATATTCCCCAGGTTAATTCTGAGTTTTGAATAACTCCCATAAGAAGTTAATTAGGAAACTCACTTGAAATATTGTACTAAAATTCTCATGAGATCCTAGACTTATTCAAACAGCTGAAAAACAATTAGCAAAGCTTTTGGCAAAATTAGAGACCCTAACAAAGACTGAAGTCATGGGAGTGTTACCCTGAATTATTTATATAATTCAAACACAGAAATCCACCTGAGGATGCAAGAGAAGTATTCTACTCAGAAAAAAAAAAAAAAAAAAAAAAAAAAAAAAAAAAATTTTTTTCCAAAAAAAAAAAAAAAAAAAAAAAAAAAATTCTACTCTCAACAGAGCACCAGGAGATCACGACTGTTGCTTTTTTTATTACTCAATGTCCCGCTTACAGAAGTATGTGCAAAGCCAAAAACGAAAACAGATTGAACTGAAATAAAAAGGACTAGTAAACTGTCTACCCTGACTAAATCATCAGAGATCAAAATTTGTTCAGCTAACATACGATTTTTTTATAAGCTACAGGTCTTCTGAAAAGAATACAGCAGTTCAACAGCAAGCTGAGTTTGCCTTTCATCAAGCTTCACCAGCAGAAGTACAAATTCACCAGCCCATATTTTTTTTTTTTTTCCTTCACTGGAGATGGCAGAAAAACAAGTATTACAATGGGGAAAGAAAAAAAGGGGGGGAGGGAGTGGGGAAGAAGAGACATACAAAGCCCTCAGCACATCTCCTCCTCTGTGCTAATCTGCAAGGTTGACAGGACAAAACATTAGTCTATGTCCCAATGACTTAAAATATTAATGTTGTACACTGTAAAAATGTCCCTCCCCCAGCCACAGGAAGAAGTCGGTCATATAATCAGGAGTCTTGAGCTTCAGTGTTTTTGTTTAAACACATTGTCTTACAGCTCAGCAAACAGAGAAAACAGGAGTATCAGGCAAACTTCTCTTCATGTAAGCATTTTAAGTTCACCTATAAGTAATTTATCTATAAATGACCTGGTAGAAAACAACAGAAAGCCACCTACCCCTTGACTAGTTCAACTGCGATAAAGTCATTGCCATCACCACTGTTAAAGAGGATGAAACCATCAGCTGAGGTTGTCTTGAACTGAAAGAAGAGGTGCATGGATGTATAAGCCTGCAGGGTGGCCAAGCTCAAGTAGCTGCTCTTAGTCTTGAATGTCACAGGGTCAGCTATAATGTTGCGGAGACCAAAGCGTGCCTTCAGCTCGCAGTAGTCAATGTCCCCGTTCTTGCACAGGTCAATGTAGAGCATCCCGTTGAACATGAGGCTCTGGAGATGGCCAATGAAGCTGGAGGGGATGACAGAGATGTACCGTTTCTCTGTCATGATCCCTGTCTCAATGTTGTGGAACTCCAAGCGGGTATGATCACCAACCATTGTGCCTGAAGGACAGAACCAAGGAGAAATATTGGGGATCAGCAACAGGTTATATGGAACCCTTCACACTCCAGTTTCCAGACTAATAACAAACTAAATCCTATCCGATCACTGATCAGTAGCGTGCGTAAGAAAGGATGTATAGAATCTTGGTGGAGAGGCTTTGGTGGAGATGTGTGAGTCTAGCACAAAAACTGGCAGAAAAGACAGGCCCCTAAAGGGCCATGGGCAGCAAGCTCTGTACTTTTCCCTGTGCTTCACAGGCTTTGTCTGTGAAGAAGACCAGGCATCTCCCTTAAAGCCAACAGTGATCTATTTGATGCAGCAGACCATCTTCTAAACAACTCGAACACTTCTGAAACAACTTTTCCAAATGCATCTCCTGCAAACACTTGATAAACATAGATTAATATAAATAGAGCAGTGAAAGAAGTGAGAACAAACATAAAATTGCTGATATTTATTCCTTTGTTCTCTCCTGATGCCTGTTGTTATTCCTCTCCCTTAAGAGCACGGCAGGAGGAAAACAGACAAAAATGCAATGGGCAAAAAGCCCTCCATATAGTTAAATCATCAACCTACCACTTGGGGCATTTACCACATCATGACAAGATTTTAACCTCTCAAAATATCCAAGCTATTCGGTATACCAAATACTACTGTCAGATTCCTCCTACAGCATATTTAAATGTTTCACTAAGTGATCTAGGCACCAGTGCAGACACAGAACCCATACAGACAGATGAAATACAACAGTATGCTATAAAAACAAATTGAGCAATATCAGAATGAAAACCCTTTCAACGAATCTTATTTTAGCCCTCCATAGTTATTAATTAAGGTAGTTTTCACTATTTGGTCACGTGCAAATTCTTTTTCTACATAGGCCTTGGTCCATTTAGTAAACCAGAATGAATAAAATACTAATAATTTAATTGTTTTCCTATCATTCACTGTGCAACCACTATTCAAATTCTGCTGCATATAGGCCGTTATTTTTTCCTCTCATTAAATTTTCTGCAGTTCTCATTGTTTATGAAGTGTGGTGTTGGCTCTGGGGGCGCTGCAGGGCAGCCTTAGTGAGGAGAGGCCAGGGCTATTCCATTCCTGATATAGCCTGCTCCAAATGCCTCCAACCCACCCACCAGGCACAGCTGAGCCCCTTGGACAAGATGGTGGTACCTGGGAGAAAACGTGTAGGAAAGGATACAATGCTACCCACAAGAAACAAAGGGAAAAAAAAATCCCAACTCCAACCCCTGTGAACACGAAGGACTGAAAAGAGGGAAGAGGGGGCATTCCATGTTCCAGAGTGGAAATTCTCCATCCTCCACAAAGATCATAGTGGTGCAGACAACTACACTGCAACTCATGGAGGACCCTTGTGCTAGAGCAGGTGGATATTTCCTGAAGGAGCTGCAGCCTCTGGAGAGCCTACACTGGAGCAGGTTTTCCTGAAAGCCTATGGGGACCACCCATGCTGGAGCACTTCATGAAGGACTGCATTCCGTGGCTAGGACCCACACTGCAGCAGGACAGAAGTGTGAAGAGGAAGGAGTGTCAGAGAGGAGCTGTCACAGGCTGAGCACAGGCACCATTCTCCAACCCCCTTCTCTGCCTAGTGGGGACAGGTGAGAGAGGCAGGGAGGAGCAAATCCAATAAAAGAGAGTGGCAGACACTGTTCTAATTTCTTGTCTTTGTTTCTCACCATTCAACTCTATTTTTAATTGGCAGTAAATTAAATTAATTTTCTCATAGTCAAGTGTGTTTTGTCCATGATTATAATCACAGCACAGTCCTCTCTTTTGGTAGGTTTTCCAAAGAAAACAGCCACACTATCTGTTGGTCCCTCTCATAAGATTTTAACATGCTGGTCAAATTCACCAGGTTTAAAATCCAGAGGGAACAAAGATATTTAAATTCACACTATTTTTGTGAATTTTGACAACTGGATAAAACCAGAATAAATATTTCTGGTGTGTTGTAAACATACAAAATTTAGCAACAGTATCTGACTGGAATACTCTTATATGCATCTGCTGGTCAGCAAGCATATCTACACAACTCTCAACAAGTCACTGCAAGACATATTTGTCAGTCATTGAAATTATACCTAGGAATCATACCAATTAGCATAGCTGAACCCAGAACAAACTCCTCTAATTCCTCTAGGTTATATCCACTGGGATTTATAAGCTTTCTCATATTCTGTGCTGTCTCCTGAAGTCTCCTATAATTTCTCACCATAAGAGGTGAGAAAAGGCATTAAAAGACACAAAAACCTCCCAAACAATCAACCAAAAAGCAGTAGTCCTTTCAAGGTTTTTCCTATGAGTTGTGATTTTCTTTTTCTGTTGGGGATAGAAGAAAACCTGAACACACTTATAAAGACATGTGGATGATACATCCTAGCTTGCAGTGTATAGAGAGCCAGATTATATGAACTGATGGTCATCTTCTTGCTTAGAGACTCTGGAAACTCTGAAATATTTCTAGCACACCTCTCATGGTCATGTACGAACTGCAGTTTTTCAGTTTATACTTTGTCCAAATGTGAACAAGTTTTATTCAAAGACAGCAAAAAAGCATAGTTGTTATTAGAAAATTTTCTTTCCGCTATCTACTTCAAATGTGAAGAAAAATATTATATAAATCAATTCACCTTTTTCACTTATTCCAAATTTTACCAGTGGATCTAAATTTCAATGCAATTATACAAAGACCATGGAAAACTTCAGTCCAAGCAGACACAGCTGATCAAACTTAGAAGCAGCTGAAGGCAGTGACAAATTTATGACTATTTAAAAATTCAAGTGTCAGCACCAATGCAAGTGTTTTTAAATCCTGAAAGAGTTATTTACCAGAAATAATATTATTTTAGTTTGAAAAATTGACATTTCCAGAAGTTGAAATAGGACACAGGGAAATTTATCTAGACAGCTTTCTCACTTCCACTACTGTGATCCTTAGAGGCTCATAGTTTCAGTTTCAGTATGATAAAATTTATGATTCTTTCCAAATCAGAAGTGTATTTTCTTAAAATTAGAAAAGTCACTTAAAAAAAAAAATCCTGGTTCTTTATTTTGAAAAATTAGAACAATAAAATTAAGAGATATCAGTTCTCGAAGGCAAGAAAATGCCTCCTTTTTTCTTCTACACTTAAAAAATACAAGGCAATTGTGCTCTAAGTAGAAGAAAAAAGCCAAGACTGGGGAATCTGGAGTACACTGGATAGGGAGCCCAAATATAGGGGGCATTAAAAATGGAGTGAGGGAGTTTGGAGGAGGTGAGCTGAGAATCTTAGAAAAGGTGAAAAATGAGAAAACTGGGGCTGGCTTAATAAAAAAAAAAAGAGTTCTAGAGGCAGTACTGTAGAAAGTCAGGAGTAGTTCAGTGAAAAGCTGCAAAGGACATGGCAATACAAGATCAGAATCAGGACAGAGATGTAATTTCCTAGGAAATCATGGAGTGCAATCCAGTATTTTGTGATCTCATTAGCTATCAGCCCCACCTGCAGAGTTCACCTCTAGTTCCCCACTGTGTTCTATGGAGTACTGTACCTACTACAGCAATCACAAGCTCTCTAGTTCAAGTGGCAGCAGACAAAAAAATTCCAGCCTCCACTGTGGTATCTGGGTGCTAGGAAGATGTCATAGAGAGGAATATATCAGCTGTATTTGTGTCTCATTTACCACTGATGTTCTGACATCTGTTCTGAGGTCAGGAGGAATGTGGGACAAAGGTTTTGTGATTAAACAGTAAAATGCTGTCCAGAATTGGATTCTGTCTCTGCCTTAGATGTTCTATGGGAAACGAAGTCAGACACTTCATTACAAATTTTTCATAGGTGGTCATTAATTGTCTACATCTAATTCCCAAGTGGCAGGGTTGAACTTATTTAAAGGATGTAATTTACAGACATGCTGAATCTTTCTGATGCAAATGACTAAAAGAACATGGCAAATTGGTACCAAATACATCCAACTTTAATCTGGTGCCGTGTTCCCAAACCTGTAAAATAGGAAAAAGATGCCCATAATACTTCATATAACATAGACATGGGGATAAAGCCAGTTAAAGCTTCTTAGTTCTGTATAACCATAATGATGAGTAGCCTACAACACAGACACACAATTAAAAAACTAAAACAAAAAAATTAAATAAAAACCCTCTAAATTTAGAGCAAAATTCAGCTACTGCGCATTGTTCTGAACAAGAAATAAGAAGACAGAAATCAAATAGACTGTTCATTTTTACTGGGGGCCCAATTTAGACTTCTGATCTATGCCTAAGACAGAAAGAATCCTGTGGAAAAATCTATGTGACCACACCACTGAAGACTGTTATCATCTGCCCAAGGAAGTGGGATGCAGATTGCACAAAAAATCTTAACTCTGGTTTTTCTGAGTTTGCCATGATGGCATTCTCTTATCAGATATTTTTAGCTGTAATGCATCTTTAATTATGTAATTCATATACATGTACATATGCGTATCCTATTTTAGTAAAGGATTGTATCATTATTATTTATAAACTGAGCTTCGTGAAAAAGACTTCAAAAACAGATGGCTTTGGGGGATCGATTCGGTAATGCAGAGAGTGCCACCTCGTGGTGCTTCCTAAAAAAAGCATATCCAGAAGAATTGTTCTCAAATTTAGAAGTAATCGGAATTAAGTGCTTCTTTTAAGTTCCCTCTTAAATAAAATTAGTTTTTCCTATTAGCTAATTTTGACCAAGCCACCACCAAGGCTGACTTGCAGCAAGGAAAATGAATTATTTTTCTTGCATCTTTTTTGTTCTCTCTTGCAAAATCACAGCCTATATAGGACAGCACATATTTACTGCAGAGAAGAAACGTATTTCTAACCATTTTCCTGTAAACCAGCTTCTTTGGGCATATTTCACATTTCTGACTCCTGGTTTTCCACTAATCTAAATTACCACAATATTTAAAATAATCCATATTCATATAAAAGGAAAAAAACCTCTTTTTTCAGGGATAGGATATAGTGTTTCGGCACTATGTGTAGCAGCTATTACTCCTAATTGCAGTCTGAATAGAAGCTGCTCAGAGAAGGGGATTTCAGCTTTTGGGAAACCAGCGTGGGTGTCAAGTAACAATTATACTTGCATCAGTTTGGCATCCAGGATTCCTGGGTTGGTTTTTATTTTATTATTATCAGCCTCCAGACTGCTGACGTTTTTCTCAAAAACTCAGTTCCTAAAGCTATATACAAATATGAGAATTTTAGACCTACAAAAGAAAAGAAAGATAGGTTTTCTGGCTCTTGTAGTCATGGAGAAATGGATCTGGAAAGTATAATCTCTAAAATTCTGCAATTAAAAAAGGATCAATCTGGAGTACTTTGATCATTTCAATGCAAGTTTTAACCTGGGACACCCCAATTTTCCTGACTGATCTTTTCTTTCCTCCTCTCAACTACATTTCTCTGCAAAAAGAAGCAGGAGCTCAAAAAGCTGTCTGGAACTGCAAAAAATTATTTTTAAAAATCAAGAAAAAAAAAGAGAACAAACTGCTTTGCTTGCTTTGTCTTCTGGATGGCTCTGAACCACGCACACAAGAACTTGTGAAATAAAATTTAAAAAAAAACCAACCAACCAACCAAAAAAAAAAAAACAAAAAAAAACTGTGCTCTATAAGACATGTACTTCATGCAGGTTTATCTTCAAGGAAAAGTTTGTGCAGAGGAGTGGTCCAGAGAGCCTTGGCCTTGATTCCACAGCACTGGAAACCATCACACGTGCAACTCAGGAATGGCGTTTATTCAGTCTACTTCAGAAAGAGCCTGGACCAAGAGAAAGTGCTGCTGAACCCCTCTACAGTCTGAGATAAGTACATGCTTATCTGTCCCCTAAACCCGTATCTCAAGTTGTCACAGTTGTCACAGAAGTTTCTGGTGCTGGCTATCAAGTCTCAGACCTGAACATTCATTTTCAACATAGTAACACAAAATAAATCACGACTGGCAACAGGGAGGGGTGTGGGGAGAGATGCACAGAAGAACAGGGAGAAGGAGCATAATGGCAAAGACTAGGAACTGAGACACAAAGACAGTGATCAAAAAACCCTGATACATCACACTTACCCTCAGCAACATCGTCATCCACGATCAGCTTGAGGCTCTTTCCTCGCCGCACCACGCGGACAGTGTGCCACTCATTGTCATTGAGTTTCTGCCCAGCATAAAGAGTTTCAGGTCCCTTGCCTGGGAAGGGTGATAGGTGCAGCAGTTAAAGCCAGACCCAGAATTGCTTTAGTACTTCTCAGTGGGAAAAGTAAAGAAAATCAACTTGGTGTTATACAGACCAGTAGAGTGCACAGGTATATAACAACCTCTAATCAACCCTCACACCTACAACTCTCAGCTTAGGGAATCACAAACCCTTCTACTCAGTCAGGTGCCTTCCTCCATAGAACCCTAACGTCACATGCATTTAAAATGGATAGAAATCTCTCTTGTGCTATGGTACTGATTTCCAAACATCACACTGCACAGCACACTACAGTAATAGGAAAACAAGTTGATGACTGAAATGTCTCTAAAGTGGATCCATTACAGTAGCATTTTGCTCTCCTAAAAATCTGGATTTACAACATCCCCAAGGTACTTGGGATTCTATTCAAAGTTAAACACACTGGTCTTTCAACACTTCAGTATCAAACACCAGGTTGGTTTCAGTCTCACAAAAACCCAAAAACAAAAATCCCACAATCCCCCCCCCCCAAAAAAAAAGTAATTAAAAAAACCCTCACAGAACTTCATACCCCACTTTATAAATAAATTTTAAAAAATTATAATCTCAAATAAAACCATTCACCAACCTCACTGATTGCTTTAAGATTCTTTGGCAAAGCAGCCTAGATTTGAGGTGCTTACTTCACCCCTTGGATATCAGTCAAAAGAGAAAGAGGAGCCATGTCTTCTCCAAAAGGTTATACCACAGTTGCCCTTGCAAACAATGCTCCTGGGAAAACAGCATTAGTGCTACCCGTATTTGTTTGGTTTTGCTTAGCCATCACACCTGACAGGCAATTACTTAAAAAATTAATTGTTCAGATTACAGGACCGGAACACCTCACTCATGTCTAATGGTAAGTGAAATTGAATAATGGTGTGTGCTAAATTAAAAGCATCTATCCTTATTTCAGTACAGTACTGAAGTGGGGGGGTTTGATCCAGATATACCAGAAAATGTAGAATGAGTACAGCCAAACTTGTTGCACACCAGTCTGGACCCACTGCCCAAACTGGCAAAAGGGGAACCCAAGAAAAAAACAACCAATGAGAGATATTGAACATATTAACAGAGGTGGGATAGGGACAATGAGGCACTGCTAGAGCTCATGATACTGCACTGGTAAAACTAATGGCAGATAGTCCACAGCCCACAGGATGCACAGTGCCTAATGAGCACCGTTACTGTAATTGCTTCTCACCAAAAAAGGAACATGGGCAAAGAAGGTGGTGTCTCATTCAGCTAGGATTCTATATGTAGTATAGGAATTCTTCAGAAGGAGAGCAAAGAAAAATAAGTATTCTGTTACTCTTTTTTTTTTAAAAATCATGCAGTTCATGCTAATAAAAAAAGGAGATTAATACCTTTTTCAGATAAAGACCATTGCCAGACTATTTTACCATAAACTAAGATGAGAAAAATGTTTTTCTAGTGATCTGAAAGATAAGAGTCATTCTTGGATTAAAAGGATTTGGAGTCATATTGAAGTTACAGAGAATAAATCCTTAGCAGGAGAAACCCATAACTTCTGCTGTCCCTCATCCATGTGATAAAGTTACATACCACACACATAATCCAGCTGAACAAGGCAGTTAGATCATGGCCAGAAAGTTTAAGTTTTTTGGCCCCAGACAAGCAAAGCACTAAGAAAGTTACGCTAGATTTACCTCAGTAAGTACATTTTATCCTAAAGCAGAATTCACAAAATTATATCTCTGTCTAGATAAACAACAAAATTATTGTCTACATCAAAATATACAGCATCAGTCACTATACTTCTACACAGCCACTTCCCAGGTGGGAAGATGAAGGAGGTCACCTGGAACTGTGTGTTTATATAATGCCATCTGAAAGCAGAGGAAAGAGGGGAGGGGTGGCAAATGCTTTCTAAAAAACCCAATCTTTTCCACACACCCATTAGAGCACTGGAGGGCTCAGCCAAGAGGCATAGTCAGGCATGCTGGAGTCTGCTCAGCTGACAATGCAATGCTTCCTATGCAATAGCTCTGTGTCCAGCATGGTTGAATAACTCAGTTGCTGTCCTTCTAGTTCCCATTTTTCAACCCTAGCCTGACAAAACAGGAATCAGCTAAAACAGTCTGGGGTTTGGCTCATCTTGATGCCCACTCTATCACTTTCAAAACAAAACTGTGACACCAATAGAAGTTATATGAATATATTCTTAGGAAAACGTACCTTAACCAATTCACAAATAAATGAATAGAAAGTTGCAACATTCTCACATTTTCCAAATGAATAAGCTTGTCTACTTAGAAGTAACTGGTTAATAGCTTGGGCTAAAAATTTGAAAACTAAGCACTGCAGATATGAATTACTTTATTATTTAAGTCCATATCTTGATCAGCCAATTTTATATTTGATCAGTAGAAACCAAAGAATAAGTTTTAATACTTTTGTTCACTTACCACCCTCTCTTTTGCAAAAATGGACATTGGCTTTTTTTAGTAGGGTTACTCAAACAACGCAAAAATTCAATACATGAACATGCTTAAGAGCATTCAGATAAGTTTTTCAAGCCAAACATATCTGATTTTAAAGGAAAGCATTAAAAAAATGTTATTTTACTCTATTTAAACTGGTTAATTTTCAAATGTTTTCAAGACATTTATGCAGCAGTGGGCTGACCTGAAAAACAGCAAAATTTTGTCACCATTTTTCAACTGAGAGTGTACAAATAAATTGCTACTCTTTGTATAAGCTCCCATTGAATTCTAAGTAGTTCCAAGAACTGTGTATACAGGGACTTTAACATCTGGATACCAAAATTCATTTCATTGAGCATGTGCCATTACTATGCAGATATTTACATGTGATCAATTTTTAAACAAGGACTTGAAGATTCCTAATCCAACAGTTGCTCATGCTGGGGAAGATCGAAAGGAAATAGGCCACGTGTTCCTGTACCATAATGCTGTCCCTAAGAAAAAACTCCTGCCAGGCATTTCTGTAGTCTTATGTTTTACAGTTTTATGTTTTTTCCTCCTTTCAAGCTATCTGCAACTACATCATCCTTCAAAAAGGACAACAGACAAATGAGGAAGCAAAACAGAAGATCAAATGGACAGAGAAAGAAATCTAGAGATTTTTATCTTCCCTTTGTATAATGTTTTTTTTATGATAAAAGACAAGAAAAGGCAAAGGAACTCTTGTAGCCATGAACAGCACACCTCGAAACACTTTCTATTTATAATACTTTGGGCCACTGGGCATTAGGTAATTTTGACAATTTATTTATTTTTATGCATGAAAAGAGTAAAGGACAACATAAGAGTAAACAGAACAACAAAGTCTTTACTGTTGCAATAACTTAATAGTTAAGCTGACAGCCCCTCACTCCTGTTGGCATCTCTGATCATCTTGGTCATTCCATCCCCTTTCCTACTGCTGTATGAGGGACTGTGCATTGTATGGAATTGATCACCACATTTCCTTTTTCCAACTCAGTTGAGGCAGGCTAGTGAATATTCCTTTTATATTTTTCAGTGGCAAATACTACTTAATCAGGAGCAAAAATATCTGTCTCTCAGCCATCCCCAAATTCTGGACATGAGTTCAGTTGCAGTTCAGGCTTCTTGAGCAAATATTACTTGATTCAGCCACAGTGACTCCTCCTCATTCTCCCATGAATTCTCCAACATCTACTCAAACTTTTATGCATACTGTTCATAAAAAAAATTAGTATATGCTTTCAAACATGGAAGAACTCCATCCAATCTGCCCAGAGTGTCCCAAACATTATGTATGTATCAAAGGTGCACTGCTGCTAATTAATAGCTTGGCTTAAATAAGCTATATAAAACTGCCAAGAATACATGTGCCAAAGTATAAACAATCAAAAAGCAGATCATGCCTTCTAAAAATGCCAAGTTGCTTTCCATGTGCTCCCCAAGAACTTGCTTGTTCAGAACAAACTGGTCAGAGGCATGCGGTTCTGACAATACCTCTGAAAATGCACTTCTTGTTCACCCTCAGTGGCTAGCAGCACACAAAAATTTCCTCTATGAGATAAAGGAGAAAGAGGGTTAATCCCTTCTGCAGTTTCTCACAGGTGGATCAAAAAATGTGCTTTTACTTTGGTGCAGGCTTTCATCATCTGATCCGTTTATAAGATTAAAATTACTTGCATGAAACCAGGCTATCTTTATCATTGCATATCCTATCCAACACTACAGAAGTGAAACAGAACCACAAAAGCTGAACAGAAGGGACATTGCTATATTGATGAGAATGGACAAGGTGCTTCCCTCAGCACAATTACAATGATAAATAATTCTACAACAATACTAACACTTTTCAAAGACCCTCAGTAATGATAAGGTTTTCTCTGCTTTTTCTTTTCCACTAAAATCCTTAGCTACCACCTCCTTTTCAGTGGAAAGATGAATTTTTGTATCTCTTTTATACAGGGCAACATCCTGTCAGAATGGGGAAAGGAGGGGCTGGGAAGTGGAAGTTTCTTTGCCCCCTCACTCCCCTTTTTTTAAATTTGTGATGGAGGAGGGACATGGGTTGTTTTTACTTACACCTTTATATAATGACCAGAGAAGTTGTGGCTTGCTGTATAAAATGTGTACGCAGAGATTTGTGAAACATGACAATGAATCACAAAACCTCAAAAAAGGAAAAAATAGGTACAAGGACAAAGATGCTGGCAATTTTTCACACACCTTTGTGGCTTCCTGATATGCAATAAGTTCCTACAAAGCACAGGTCAAATATCAAAACACAAGAATGGCTCAAAAGCAGAGCTGGCAGGTTTTCTGAAAGCCAGCAACTTTCAGTCTTGGTTAAACACAAACCACTAGTGTAAATTTTGTTGTTTCTTTCAGGCAGCACTAGTATGGACAAAGTGTTTTAGGATGGTCTTTTCTTCGACCAGGATTTGCTGTTCAACACCAGGAGCATTGTTAATTGCTAAGAAACAAGCAGCAACCCCAGACATTGCAGA